CTAGCAGCCCATGGTTAGCAGCTTAGAAAGTTTTGGGGCTTTGGGGAGTTAGGCCCTTAAGTTTGGGGCTGCTCCGTAAGTTTGAGGACATCCTACTTTTGTTGGGAGGGCTTGTGAATCTGTAATGCCACTAACCCTACTAATTCTAGGAGGTTTCAGTATGGGTACCGGTACTCAATCAAGCACGGCGCCAAGGTTGAGAGGCTACCCTAGACCCTGAACCATGAACCATATGAGCTATAGTCTAAACTATTTTGTTGGGGGGTTCCATAGAGGGCTATATTAGGGGGACACTAGGAGTTTAGACTATGGCTCATATGGAAGTTAAACCAAAAATTCCAAAATGATGTGCTAGCTTGGATTTCTTTATCATTCCCCCATGCAACCCCTATACACTCTCCATTAAGCCCCATGGATTTGGGACACCCTAAACCCTAAACCCGAAACCCCAGAATTGAGGGCTGGCGATGACCTACTGGGCTGAGGGTTCAGGGTTTAGGGTTTAGGGTTTACTCAAATAGCGAGGGGCAAGGATATGGGTAGTTCCCGAAACTAGGGTCCCTCTCGGTACCCCTAAAGACGAGGTGCCGTAATATAATCTATAACCAAACCGGGCCCATGATTTTGAGAACCACCCATATGACTTGAGATATCTAGACTAACATCTGAGGCGATGACTCCACTTATAACTGCCCAGGAAACCTCAAGAAGCAAGAACTGTGGGGCCCTGCATGTTCAGAAGAATCAGCGATCGCTAGGGCAGGTATCCAACATGAACCTCCCCATATCTTGTGAAGGAACCCAAAGATGGAATCAAGCCAGCCAAAGAGTCCTCACTCATGCCCGTGAAGTCTGCCATCATGTGCACACACACACACACACACCAAGCTTTCAATCGTTACGGTCGAGGAAAGGGAGTTGCGACCCACTTTATGATGGTGGAACAAAGCAGAACAGGCACCCGAGCCACCGTTGACTCCTCGTCCTTGCTGAGAATGGCAACTGCAGCCTGCCCAGACTCTCTGCGGTCAAAATTGCTCGTGGGAGTGGCGCAGCTCTCACCACGACACAGACTCAGGCAGCTCGTTCACCAATGGCTTAAGCTTCCCCATCTACGTCCCCGCATTGACGCTACTTCTGCTTGGAGCGCCGGGGGGGGGTTTGACTTGTACTTGTGTATCACGGTTCTGGCGATGCTACAGTGCGGGGAGGCTGAAGAAGGAACCCATTTGGGCGAAATCATTCAACACTTGGGAGATTCCTTAAAAATACTAGCCCCTATAATATGAACCCAAAAGGTATCCCTCATTTGTGCTGTTTCCATGACGGAAAGGCTTGGTCATTCCATAGCAGGCCGTCAAATGAGTACTTTAGGGTTAAAGGTTAAAGGTGTTATTTAGGTCCCTTTCCGTGCACATGGACTAGAAGAAAAGGCTATTCAAATGGATCATACCACCCTAAGAGCCCAGGTACCGATGTAATCCTCCCCCCAAATATTAAACCCCCCGCCCCCCTAATATGAAATTCTCCCGATTATGGCATATTACCATTTTGGTATGTTGCAATATATTAGGAGTATTCAATATTAGGGGGGGTCGGGGGGTCTAATATTAGGGGGAGAGGATTTGTGTGCACATTCGGGCACTCAAAGACCAGCCTTCCACAGCTGGTCGTTCGCAGCAGCTACCACTCGTCCCTTCGAGACTTCCTCTGATACACTGATTCATGCCAAAGCGAGCACATGGTCATTCCTTTAAATCAAGTAGTTCTCTGCTGAGGAGGGCCCCAGAAAATGTACCCACGACGTAGGGTGGATCGTGTTTCTACATAACAGAGCACACGTAAGCTGAACTTCTTGTCGGGAACCGATCAACGCCAGAACCATGGCAATATCATCCGAACAACTTTGTCAGGCTATATCTCCACGAGCTATTAGTGCAAGACATACAAGGACCCTCCCCATCCCCACTGGGTCACACTTAGTGGGTCAGGGGATCACCCACGAACTATGCCTTTCTCATGCCCATGGTCTCTCTTTTGGAATTTGCCCTCCAAACGCGGACGAGACACGTGCGACTGCAAGGTTAGCCTCTGGCCCTTCCAGTCCTGCAGGACGCTTTCGGATTTGGGGGTTTCCTAAAATTAGGGGTACCCTTTTTGGGGGTCCCCATAATAAGGTTCATAGTATATTGGACCTGTATTGGGCCCCCTTCTTTAGGGAAATTACTAGTTGGGGCCTTCTCAAGATCGGGGTGCCTTAGGGGCCCTCGAGATGCCTCGAATTTGTGAGAAGACTAGATTGAAGGACCCTAGCAAGGATTCTATAACTGGAGTTGGGAGAAACTCCTGTTCAGCAAGGGCGCAAGCAAAACTGCAAGCCAGCATGAGAGTGCGATCGATCTATCTTGCATCTCGTGAAAGACACAAGAGTCACAAGAACGCACCTGCATCCATCTGAACAGTAAATTTGTAGACAGACATGTGGTAGTTTCGAGAAAGAGGGGGACCCCACATGGATCTCAACATGCGTACTACGAGAATGATTCTTATTCTGGGAAGCCCCCAAAAACAGGGGCCCCTAGTTTTGGGAGACACACACACACACATGAACATTATGGACTCCCAACACCCCGCCCCTGCCCCGCTTTGAGTTCTAAAATCAATGAAGCCTCATTCCAAGTTACTTATACTGGGCAATCTCGGGGGTGCATCCTAGCCTGAACTGTTCAGAGCCAGAATGCAGCAAATAGGCAAATACTGTAGCCCCCCTTAAGTAGATAGAATATGGCTTAGGGGATATTACCATAAGATCCCCATGTACCCCATATTCAATCTACTCAATTAAGGAGGACTACGGTCTCCGGGCTTCAGCAAATATTCTGATGTGCCCATGCCGGTCCGTCATCCGTCCGCCAGCACAATTGACAACCGGAACCAGTGCACAATAATCGTAGATGCCTCGGGACAGGTCGCCACTGTTCTGACCATTCCAGATGCACGAGCAACAGCTCTTCACCCACATCATGTAATCATACCAGCATAGCTGTTCTGGCCAAGTACCCCTGGCAAAACGCAACCTTTTGAATTCTTGCTGGCTTGCTGCTTGTTCACATTTGAGCTCTTCGCAGCTGCGTTTGCATCTGCTAGTCCAGCAGCTCTACCATACCGCGGCAAGGCATCAGGTCCAACTCGCACATAAGGTTTCAGTGAAATCGAAGATTTAGCAGACGCCTAGTCGTTCCCGGTGAGAACCTTTCTGCTTGGAAACTTAGGTCCCAGGCTTGGATGTCGTACTTCACAAGTTCGGAAGGCGAAACCGTTTAGATAGTTACTGGACTCAGAAGCCAATGCTTTAAAGAATCGTTGCAGTGATTCCTTGTCGCCAGAAGAACAAGCTTCCTTAATGCTTCCGTCAGAAACCGAAAAAAAATTATACAGATTTTGTGGTTACCCTAAACTGTTTTTTTCTTCTTTTCCCCCTGAACCACCAAAACATCCTTTTGGGGTTGCCCTAAACCCTGAAACCCAAAAACCCACATGTGCAGCGCCAAAGACCGAGGTCAGCTTCAACCACGAGGTCAGCCCCGAAACCAGCAGCAACCAAGCCATAGGCATAACCTGTTGTCGTTTAGGATTTTCAGGGTTTGGTGTTTAGGGTTT